AAATGCTCTTTCTGCTTCTATTGATATGATCATATGATTTTTATTTTTCATTTTATTTATGTGGTGTATTGATTTGCAAATGAACCAAGTTGGCATCCCTGGATGAAATCCCAACTGATTATGGTGTATGGTTGTTTTAATATATAGCTGAATTTGTTTTGCTAGTGGTTTTTTTAAATTAAATTTATTGGGGTGACATTGGTTGATAGGGTCATATAGGTTTCAGGTGTACATTTCATGTGATTGGTATGTTGCATTGTATGCCCATTACCCAAAGTCAAATCACCTTCCATTACCATATATTTGGTCCCCTCTACCTTTTACTACTCCTGCACCCACTTCCCTCTTGTAACCACCATGCTGTTGTCTGTCTATGAGTTTCAGTTTTAGATCCCACTTATGAGAAAAATCATATGGTTCTTAGCTTTGCCTGACAGATTTATTTTGCTTTACATAATATTCTCAAAACTAATCCATGTTGTCACAAAAATTTCATTTTTTCTTATGCCTGTGTAGTATTCCATTGTATAGATGTACCATGTCTTCTTTATTGAATCCTAAATTAAAGAATGCTTTTGTTTTTTCCATGTCTTGGCCACTGTAATGCTGCAGTGAACATAGTGGTGCATATATCTTTGTGAATAAATAATATTCCATGTGTGAGCACGCATTTTTGTTATCCATTCATTCATTGATAGATATGTTATTTGCATGTCTTTGCTACAGTAAATAATGCTGCAGTAAGCATGAGAGTGCATATATCTTTTCAAGTTAGTGTTTTTGTTTCTTTTAGATAAATACCCAGAAGTGGAGTTGGTGGATCATATATGGTCATTGTAGTTGTAATTTTTTGAGGAAACTCCATACAGTTTTCATATGCCTCTACCAGTTTACATTTTCACCAGCAGTGCACAAGGGTTCACTTTTCTCCACATTTTGGTCAACACTTGTTATTTCTTATCCTATATGATAAAAGCCTTATATGCAAATTGTCCCCTGGGCTGGGAGTTTGACAAGGGGGCGGGGCCAGCCAACCATGGGAAGGGGAGGCCCTGGCCGGCGGTGGTGGCAGGCAGCTGGGGGAAGGGAGGCCCCATCCGGAGGTGGCAACAAACAGCTGGCAGAAGGGAGGTCCTGGCCAGCAGCTGGCAGTTGCTAGGGACCCTATCCGTGCACGAATTTCGTGCACTGGGCCTCTAGTACTATATAATAAAAGGCTAATATGCAAATTGTCCCTTCTACTGGGAGTTTGATTGGGAGTTCAACCAGGGGGCGGGGCCAGCCGACCAACCGTCACAGCCCCTCCTCATGGCCGGCCCAGCCTGATCGGCCCCAATAGAAGCGGGCCGGCTGACCCCACTCGTGCACGAATTCGTGCACCGGGCCTCTAGTCTCTTTTATAATAATCATTTTGACAGGCACGAGGTAATATTTCATTGTGGTTTTGGTTTGCATTTTCCTGAGATTAGTGATGTTGAGCACTTTTTAATGTGCCTGTTGTCCTTCTTCCTTCCTTCCTTCCTTCCTTCCTTCCTTCCTTCCTTCCTTCCTTCCTTCCTTCCTTCTTTCCTTTCTTCATTCATTTTTTTCTCTGTTTGGATTGAGTAATTATATATGAAATATTATTTATTAAACTCTTTTCATACTGCTAAGTAAACATGAGTAATTGCCTAATATATTCTTTTAGATCTACAGTGCAGATTTAAGTGGGGACCCTTTTGCATTGGAAAATGCTTAATTTCTTTTTATGATATTCATCAGTGATTTAGTGATAGTTAGCAGACCCTCCTTAAGGCCTACAGAGTATCTCCGGTTTTAATGGTATTGGTTTTTTTGTTTGTTTTTTTTAAAATATATTTTATTGATTTTTTACAGAGAGGAAGGGAGAGAGATAAAGAGTTAGAAACATCGATGAGAGAGAAACAGCAATCAGCTGCCTCCTGCACATCTCCCACTGGGGATGTGCCCGCAACCCAGGTACATGCCCTTGACCGGAATCGAACCCGGGACCCCTCAGTCCACAGGCCGACGCTCTGTCCACTGAGCCAAACCGGTTTTGGCAATGGTATTGTTTTTTGTTTGTTTGGTTTTGCTATTTTTTGCTATTGTATTATATAAGTTTTTTATATATTTATGATATTAATCCCATCAGATACTTGCTTTGGAAATATATTTTTACATTTGGTACATTCCTTTTTATTCTGTTGACGGTTTTTGTTACTCTGCAGAATTTTTTTAGTTTGATGTAGTCCCTTGTTTATTTTGCTTTTGTTGCCTTAGCTTTTGGTGTCAAATTAAGACCAGTGTGTTGGTGTCAGCCCCAAGGGTGTGCTTAGGTTCTCTTATATAGGGTTGAAGTAGAAAAAGAGGGTCAGGGTGTGGGTGGACAAGTCAGTCAAGCGGAGGGGAGGGAGGAGAATGCATGGGTCAGTCAGGCGGAGAGGAGTTCTTATCTTGCTTCTGCAGGCATAGGTGGTCCTCCCCAAGCTATGGGAAAGGCTTATAACACTATGCACTGAGTGGCCAGATTATTATGACCAGCCAGATTATTATGACCACCCCATCAGTACAATGAAGTGAATTATTTACGCAAATAATAATAAAACCTTGAGAGTATTTGCTTAGGAAGTTTTCAGTATTCATTATTTTTGGAAGTGTCATTGAAGTACTGATGGGGTGGTCATAATAATCTGGTCGGTCATAATAATCTGGCCACTCAGTGTACATTTCAGAAAACATGTCCAAGCAGGAGAGATTAGGGGAAGTTCATCCTAACAATTACCAAGACCAGTGTCCTCCCTTTTATCTTACGTGATCTCTGCTGCTCGAGGGGAGCAGAGTTTCCCTGGGCCTTTTTTAAAACTCTACCCTGTGGCAGTTCTGGGTTGCAGTCTCCTCTAGTGTTCATTTGGGATATACAAGAGGCAAAAACAAACCTCTGGAAACCGAACACCTGATCCTCCCTTAATTCCTGAAGTCTCAACCCATTCTGCCTTCTGTCCACATTTCAGAATCTTTCATTACTTGTTATGTGCCTTATGTCAGTTGTTCTAAATTATCATTAATGGGAGTCTAGGAGGAATGTGCTTTTAGATCTATCATGATTAGGATGGGAACTTTACTCCAACACTTACTGAATGAATGATTAAATGAATACACACATATTACCTACAAGTTGCTTGTACTTGTGGGTGTCAGTATAACAATAGGTATAGTAGTAACAAAAATAAGATAAATTCCTATGGGAACTTGTTAACATAAAAAACATTCAAACCTGTAAAGAATTTTTGTGAGTTTATTTGAACAAAACTGTCGACAAGTGCTGGAAAGCAGAATCTCAAAAAATTAATATAATGTTTCAGAGAATGGCAGTGCTCTGGAGTATGGCAGGTTTTAACCTATTTTTATACATTACAATAAAAGGAGGAGACGTAAGTGGGTTACATGAAATTCATTGGTGATAGATTAGGGAGTCAGGAAAAAGCGAAGCAGGGAGACCCCTGGGATTGGATAAAAATTAAAATGATAGACTCATGTTTCTTTTACTTAGGTGGGTACAGGATAATTAACAGTCAAAACATGAGACCATTCTTTGTGGTCTGACTTTAGATCTCTTAGTTTGCAAGACCTCCACACAGGTTAGTATGTGGCCCCTTTTTGTCCACAAACTCATAGGCACAGAAAATATTTCTAGTGATTTTGGAATAGAACATGTGGTATGGTGGTGAGATCATTGTCCAGACAATAATTTTCTGACACCAAGTGGGTGTCCTTCAATTCAGTTTAATCATGACCCACAGGTTAAGGGCAAAATCCTCCACAACACTGCTCCATTTCATATGCCAGCACAAGTCTCAGAGGCCCCTGCATGTCTGACCTACTTAGCAACCATTTGAGTGTTCCCACAGCGCCCTCAGATATTTTTAAAATATATTTTTAGTGATTTCAGAGACGAAGAGAGAGAGAGAGAGG